CTGCCTCATGAGGTTGGAGTGAATTATTTGATTGACAATTTGGGGAAGAATAAACAGCTAATAGCTGGCTCAGCTCTGCCTCTTTTCTTCCTGGAATTGAGCTGCCTGCTGGGAATAATAGTTCTTTTCTGCTTCTCCATGCTGTCTTTCTTGCCTGATTCTGGGATGAAAAATCTGACTAATTTTGGGGTTCATTTAGCAATCCCATTTGGCACTCACGCTAATCTATGTCCTCTAATTCATCTTTATCATTAATAAAGGGAATATTTTTGCCTTCTTATGCCATTCTTTTGTCTTATTTATCAATTAATTCAGTATTCTGGACAAGGGAGAAGGCTGCTATTCTTTCAAGCACCCAGTTATATATGGATCAAAAAAGGAATGGAAGAATAGATTCCAAACTCCTAATGGTTTGGAAACTCTCTGGAGATACTTCACTTGCTACTTTCTAAATTCTGGATATCTGTATATCATTTTTTAAAAAAATAAAAGATTGTGTTACTTTTAGAATCAGTGAAATCAATATTGATATTTCTATTTTGAATAAAAAGAGAAATAAAACATATATAACAATGAAATACTACTCTCTATATAAAATCAGCATGGCCTCCCTAAATTACAGGTCTTAGGGATCTTAAGGATATAATGAAATGGGTATTGTCATTCACTCCTAGTGGCCTCTGGTCTTGCAGTACAATGGTAATAGGAGAATGACTGCTTTGTCATTGACTAGCTGTGTGACTTTGAGTGAATCATTCCCCTTGCCCTGGATCTCAATTTTATCATTTGTAAATACGTTTCCTTTAGGCCCTACCTTTATAAGGTTTTATACACTGATGTTTAATATAGATCTGGGAAATATCAGCTGTCAGCTATTAAAGTTGTCTCTAAGTATCCCCATTTCTGAGAATTCTCTTTTCTACTGCAGGCCTCTGGCCCACACCTGATGGGACCACAGGTAGCCGCCTGACTCAATGTGATCCAATCAGTTTTTCTCTCCATGAAGAATTTAGAATTGGGAATTAGAAATAAAAGGTAGGTTATTGTGGACCATTAGAACCTAGGGTGTATAAATTTAGAAGCTGTGGAGAAGAAAAGGAGAGAGAGTTGATCTGCAGTGATAGGGAAGAACGAAACAGATTAATGGAGAAGGGATAATTAGAGAAGACAAATCTATAAAGGAATTCTTCTTGCTCTTGAGTTACTGGTTCTTGTCTCTTCTGGAGGCCCAGCCTCATTCCCATCTTTAGCTTCAATTAGACAATCTTGTGCCCTTCTAATAAATCGTCCTTTTTAGTTTAAGCTAGATGGAATTGGTTTCTTTAACATGCAATCTAAGAATCTATTCTACAATTCACATCTCTGCCATCAAAAATGGTCCTGTTCCCTAGCCCCTTGGCCTTATCATTCCAAGTCTACACAGAGAAAGAAGCTGAGTGATCCTAATTTTATCTGATTTAAGTTTAGCCTGTATAAGACCTCCTCCCCATCCTATAAGCATCCCCAGGCAAGATCCAGCACCACTTATCCCAGCTTCTGCTCCCAAACATGTGCGCCACCCACCTGTGTCCTAGAGCTGGCTTACCAGATACCTGAGTTGGGCTATGAAAGGTGTGAAAGGAATGAAGGAGTTTCCAGACTCCAAGATCCCGGGAAGATTGGCCCTGGACTTAAGGAGGACAAAGAGGAAGGTGATCTGGAAAGCTACTACAGTTGAGAAGAAATGTGTGCTTTGTCTGGTTAATGAACATTGTTAGCCATACAAATTGGAATAAACTTAAGGACTTGGAAGTGCAATTCTTTCTTGAAAGACCAGTTTGGGGGATAAAATAGTATTAATAATTTAGTAAGGAAGATCTTATAAAGCTTATGAACCAGATGATTTTGTAGGTGAGATTTTTTTTTATAAACACATGAATAGCTGCCTTGATTCTTGGCTCTCTCAGATTCATTATTTGATAAGCAATTTATTTTTCTTAAAATGAAATCAGCTCCACAGGTATGAAATTCATATGTCTACTTCTCAGCTAAGATATATTAATAACAACCTAGAAGAAAATTAAACTGCTTTCTACCCAATATTCAACCAGATGATATTAAAATATCATAGGTCTATGCAAGAATTTAAATTGCCTTTGAGCCTTCCTCTTTCACACATACATTGCAATCAGTGATTGGATGGAGAAGTCTTTGGATGAACTGAAGCTCCCATGAAATTATTCTGGATACGTAAATGAAGACAAATCTTTCTAACCTTTCCCTGTCTTTCTTGTGAAAGTCTGTCTCTGTTTTTCATCATTCACCTATAAATAGAACCATAATTCATTGTCAAGCACTAGAAATGAGTATATGTTCAGATAGAAGGATGTGATTATTGTAGGGGGAGTCACAATGTTCATAACAGCCTTACAAATTTCCTCTTCGGGATACACCTAGACCAGGTTTTATAAATCTCAGGTACTAAATTTATCATTGCAAACAGGTGCTAATTTTTGTTTCTAGTAGCAAAAATCTGGGTATAACCCAAATGTCATTAACAGAGAAAAAGTTAAATGCATTATGACATTATGACCTGCCATTATATGGAATTTATACAGGAATTTAAAAGAATGATTTAGAGTTGACCTGGAGAAATACTCACGTTAGTGTAAGTTAAAAAAAATCTACAGGACAACAAGCTTGGTACCATTTTATTTTTATATGAGAAAGAAAACAAACATGTCTATGTGACATTTTATATATAGATAGATGTGTAAATGTGTGCATAGAAAAAAATGTGGAAAAACACACTTGAAATTGTTAACATTAGATATCTGTGTAAGGGAGAATTAGAAGAAGCTGGTGAAGAAAGTAGTAATTTTTCTTTATATGCTCTGGATTCTTTAATTTATTTAAAAGAACACACTTTTATAATAAAAATTCAATGTCACATAAAACGAAATAAAGTCTAGTGAAAGCAAAGCCTAAAAATGAGGGCTGTTTAATCAATCCTCCTCTATGTTTATGCATCAGTTTTCAATTTTCTTTTGCTCTAAGACCAGCTACTGGCTGAATGGTTGTCTGAATTGCTCATATTCTTTGTAGACTGATGATCCCCAAGCCAAATGATAATTGTGTAACCTAACAAATTACTGGGCTTTATGTTTTTCACTACCCACTCTTTCTTATTTTTTTGTACAGACTAGACTTCATATTATGGAAGTAAATCTACTAGTGTCCATCTCAGAGGAGCTTAAGTTCAAAGACAAGCTCATAGATTTTATTAGGGCAAAAGATTTTTAAGATTTCATATTGGCCAGGCGCAGTTGCTCACGCCTGTAATCCTAGCTTTCTGGGAGGCCGAGGCGGGCGGATTGTTTGAGCTCAGGAGTTCGAAACCAGCCTGAGCAAGAGCGAGACCCCGTCTCTACTAAAAATAGAAAGAAATTAATTGGACAACTAAAAATATGTAGAAAAAACTAGCCGGGCATGGTGGCGCATGCCTGTAGTCCCAGCTACTAGGGAGGCTGAGGCAGGAGGATCGCTTGAGCCCAGGAGTTTGAGGTTGCTGTGAGCTAAGATGACGCCACAACACTCTAGCCCGGGCAACACAGTGAGACTCTGTCTCAAAAAAAAAAAAAAAAAGATTTCATATTTTAGCAGGCATTTATTTTCACATGGATCAACCCCAGGAGAAAATGGGAACCAGCACAGATTTTACCTAACTGGTTATATCAGTAAGGTTGCTGTGTAACACTTTTAGGCACAATTTCAAAGAAAAGACAGCACCATGCTCATTTACTAAGGCCTCCCTCCTAATTATAATAGCAGTCTTTCTCTCTCTCCCTCTCTCCCTCTCTCCTCCCCTCCTCTCTCATTCACACACACACACAGACACACACACACACACTTTAATCAGTAGGAAAAATTCCCTGAGTCTAATAGCTAAATCTCTGAAAAAGGGGTGAAGAAATGGAAGAAAATGATTATTATTTATTGAGTATTATGGTATACCGGATGTGCTAAAAACTTTCCAGACTATCTGATAAATCTTCCCCACATATCAATAAGATCTGTACTATGATTATTACCATTTTAGACATGAGGAAATCGAGACTGAAAAACTGAACCTTGCCCAAGGTTCCCTACCTAGTTAGTGACAGAGCTATATCAGTTTATTTGTAAGTAGAGTCACTATACATCACAGGCTGGGGCAGTGTCACTTTAATTCTTGAATCCTGAAGTGATTATTAATGGTGTCTCTTGTTCTATTTTAAAAGTGGACTAAGCAAATTATACCGTCACTCTATCTCAAGGTTTCTCAATCTCGGTACTGTTGACATTTGGGGCTGAAAAATTATTTGTCCTTTGCATTGTAGGGTGTTTAGCAACATCCTTGGCTTCTACCCACTAGATGTCGATAACACCCTCCACCCCAAGTAATGAAAAACAAAAATATGTTCAGACATTGCCAAATGTTCCCTGAGGGGCAAAATAAATACCATTTGAGAACCACTGCATCTAAAGCCTGTGCTTATAAAACTTTAACTACAGAAGGACAATATAATCTATTTGTTATTGAACATGTACTGTGAACTGAACCTAGCCAGTAGGGTGACTGGCATGTACCCTGTACTCAGTAAAAGTTAATTTCTTGGAGCCAAATGGACTCTCAGTTGTAGAGAGATACAAATGCTAAACAAGTAATGAACAAGATAACTTGAGAGGCTCTAGTGATAAAAATTGGTTTCCTGCAGTTCTTACTAGAGAAGACTGAGATAGTTCCCTGGAAAGTGACCCAGCAACCTCCAGGCTGTCCACTCTAGTAATATTGTGAAGTTTGATTCTTGATTCCCTTGGGTGTTTTGCCTCAGTACTGAACATAAAAGCTAACATGATAGCCAGAGAGTGATACAGTAAGTTTTATACTGTAGCAATCTTCTTCAGTAATAATAGCTAACAATAATCAGTGTTCTATTTTCTCCTACTCTTATACTTAGAAATGACCACCATTTCTTTCATACCACCATTTTCCATTTATTAGCAATAACAGAGGAAATACCAATAGCACCAATTCAAAATGAATCCACATGATGTGTTTTATCCTTACAGCTGTAATAACTAGTAACTAACATGGATTGGAAAGCACTTCACAAATGTAAAAAGTGCTGTACAGGTACATTATAATTATCATCCATTAATAAATTAGCCCGATTCTCCTAGTTCAAAAGGCACGTAAGGTCAGATACATGGGCTTCAGTGGGGCAAAATGATCACAACCTACAATGTAGCAATGGTTCACATGTGTTGGCAATAAGTTTTACCCCATGCAATCCTGCAGAGCTGAAGTTACACACCCTTCAAAATATGGGAGAATGAAGCTAAAAGTAGACAAGACAGTTTTTTTTAGATTTAATGCTTTTTTTTAAAATAACAGACTCCTACTTCTTTTATATGTTTAAATAGATAATATAATTAATCAAACCTCTAAATCGTACATTATAACAAAATTAAAATGTCTTATTTAAAGTAACATTAAATTTTATTATTTTCTATGAGCTGATATTCCAGATATCACTAGAATTTCAAAGCATTCTGCAACTTCAAGGAGGTCAGATTGGTAAAATTTGTGCTTGCACACCTCGGGAATATTTTCAGTATTCATTCCAAAATTGTTACTAGAAAAAAACAGCTTTATCCATTCCCTTGCCAGCAGGAGTCTTGGCAAGAGATGGCTCTTGGCTGGACCATAAATAAAATTCCTTGAATCACCAGTATCTTGATTTAAGAAAGAAATTTTACTGTGTCTTTCATACACAAAAGCTGATTAACAATGGTTAAAAAAACACTACTCCACTTTTTCACAGGTGTACAAAAGGAAATATAATGGAATTACATTCAACAATAAAGCTTAAAGTTCACTCTAGGTAATAGTTGCATTAACATTCACATACACAAGCACAGAGTAAGTATATTTCAGGAGTCTTATAATAGCATACAGCATACATATGGGAGATTGATTTCAGGTAACATCATAGGTGTTAGTAAGATTAGCAATTCAGAGTGTTATAGAAAAGGAAAACTAAACCAAAGAGAAGGTGTAGGCTAGCACACCAAGACAAATCACAGAATTAGAGGATTGAAAAGTCTGCTCACTGTATGTACGAGAAAACAATATTTTTCTTCAATTTCTGGGTCTTGATATAGTTGGTTAGAGAAGGTTGTGTATTCAAAGTGCACATAATTGTTTCTTAGAAAAGAGAGAGAGAAAGATTCTTTTATTTAATAATTAATACATGCAAGAGGCAGCCCCAGAGTGACCTGAAAGAGTAAAGCTTTGATTGGCAGGTGGCCGATATAATACAGATGTTTCAGGCAATTCTCTTAAAGCACTTCTGTAGCAGCAATGATCATTTAAATGGCTGTAGACTGAATTCTCTTTTAAGGAGAGTTTAGGGGAATTGTATTCATCATATTTCTCTTTAAAGACTTATAGCTATAGACTTTCTGTTTTTTTTTAAATAAATCTATCAAACAACAAACAGCATAAGGTGAGGTGTTTGGGGTTTTCTTTTTTCTTTTGCTTTTGCATATGTATTGTTGGAAAAGGATCTGGCCTTTTCATAAACATCGTGTGCAAAAGAATTTTTAATAAAGTGAGCACAGGACATATATAGAAAACACATCAGATCTGCTTCTGTCGCCCTGGCTGGCCCTCTGTTAAACACTGAACTGTTGGCTTGCAGGTATAATGCAGGTTTTAGGTATGATGTTATTACATCACAGCCAACAGACTTTAGGGACTCCTAAAGCCTTGTCAGTGGGGGTAGTTTTGTCTCCTAAAGGGTGGCCACCACCTCTTGAGTCATAAGATTTAGAAAGTCTGGTCCCTCTTAGTTTCACATGTCCCCTCCAGACTAATAACTCACACTGTTTATTTGCATTTGTTTCTCAGCCCTTCTTGTACCACCTAGCCTAATCTGCCCATCACAGCCAATATCTGGCACTCGCATACCTGCAGTGGCCACACATTCCCAGTGGCCACAAACACCCAAGCTGCTCAATCTGAAAACCTTTCAGCCTGCCCTGCAAGTGTCATCAAGACAGGATCCCCGGAGCACAGGGCAGAGAGTCCAACCTCTCACTGGCGGGGCTGGGAAGCCTCTCCTTTGCGGCGGAGGAGAAAGGAAACTTGGGTCTGCTTTTTAGGTTCTGAAAACAAGCCAGAGTGGAGAGAAAGAGTTAACACCAGACTTAGTAAAGCTTTAAAGACAAAACCTGTTAAATGCGATCTAGACAAACACAGGGAACTTTCTGCAGATTTCTGAGGTCTCTAAGTGGGCTCATGTAGATAGGAAAAAGGAGCAGGGAGTTGCTACATGGAAGAGATTTGCCATTATTACAAAAACTGGCTAAGTGGCTTGTTTCCATTCGATGACCTCACTGGTCACTGTTGTCAGTCGTGCTGTTTCCTTTCTCTTTTTTCTCCTGGGTCTTGTTACCCTTCTTCTTTTTCTTCTTTTTCTTGGTCTCCTCCTTTTTGCCGAAGGTTATGAAGTCACTTTTGTCAATTTGGCTGTTAGTAGGCTCCTGCCGGATGGAGATGATTGCAGGAGATCCTGGGATAATGAATTTGTCTGGCAACTCACCGGGACCGGATTGTTTGGGGTTGCCTGGTCCGTATTTAAAGGTCCAGCTGTTGCTGTTGACACCAGCACCGACTGGAGGGGACACCTCTCCTGCCTCTGGTTCTGAAAGAAAAAACATCACAAATCAGTAACAGGGTCAACACATGCCCTTGATGCCACAGTACGGGTAGAGGATAGGAGAAGCTACACAAACAGGCTGGGTCCCCCCAAAATTATGGATTATTTCTTTAAACCTGAAGGCAAGGCCAGTGTTTAGAAACAAGCAGGAGGGCAGATTTTCTCACCAGGATGTCCAGGAATCCAATTTTTTAGTCACATATTTTTGGTTCTTTGTGAACATTTTCCTGAAGAATATGATTGTGATTATCTTGCTTGGGAATGGGACAGGAAATATTGGGTTAAAACAGAATATACTACTTTCAGTGTGTGTATTAGAGAAAATTTTAGCTACAAATGTATTCTGTGTCCAAAACAGAGGGCAAATTAGTTGAATCAATTATTTGATCCTAATTTTATTATAATAACCATGAGAGGTGATGGGATGGAGCAGAGGAGAGGTAGGAACAAGTGGGGGTATAGAGGGATACTACACAGTGTAAGGGAATGGAATCCTGTTGCAAGTTGGGCCTATTTATTTGGATAAAGCATTGGGAGCCAATTTAATTTCCAAATCAAGTTCCCTCCCTCAATGTTCTCACAGTCTAGTTGGGACATACACTTAGGCAATTATAAACCAATTTAATGCATGCAATAACCAAGGTATGTGTAAAGTATTATGGGACTACAGAGGAGAAAATTGTTAATTATACTTGATAAAGTTAAAGGATATTCCAAAGGAAAGGTTAAATCTGCACTGAGTCCTGGGAAAATGATTATGCATCTACAGGGGTTTTCAATGCAAGACTTTCCCAAGGGTCTAGTTGGAAGACATACCATAAAGTATACCAATAACTTCTGGAAGAGTAGAAGTCAAAGCTAGAAAAGAAGAGTAATGATCTGTCTAGGCAAAGTGATCCCAGTGGCCATGACATTGAAACCCTCTGACATAACAGTAGTGTTTAGGTATCTGACATTGCCCAGGCTGGAGTGCAGTGGCACAATCATAGCTCACCGTAACCTCAAACTCCTGTACTCAAGTGATCCTCCCACCTCAGCCTCCTGGCCAGCTGGGACTACAGGCATGTGCCACCACACCAGGCTAATTTTTTTGTAGAGATAGTGTTTGACTATGTTGCCCAGACTGATCTTGAACTCCTGCCTCAAACAATCCTCCTGCCTTGGCCTCCCAAAATGTGCCATCCCCTTTTTGAAACACTTATTCTTATGATTACTTTGTCATACAGTAGAATAACCCCCACGGGTTCTTAGTTGGACTGGACCTCTGTTACAAAAGATAGATTAACAAAAGAAAAATAAAAGTTTATTAATATGCACATGTCTTATATACATGAGAGATGCCCAGAGAATGAGTAGTTCTCAAAGAGATGACTTTTAATTCCTGCTTATATAGTATATTCAAAAGAACAGTAAATTATTAGAGAACTGACAAGACAAAGGAAAAGGACTTTGAGTTTTATGGGTAGCTACTTGGCAGAAAGCAAATAAATGGCAAATAAAAGCTAGTTAGTAAAGCTTATTAATGTAGATTTCCCTGGTACCATCGCCAGGCCTATAAGAGTATAAAGTTGTCTTCAGTGGTTAACCTTTGCTCTCCCTGGTGGTGGTGGTGTTAGAGAGAGCAGGGTACCTTTTATCTTTGTAAATCTATGTTCTTTTAGGGAGATGGAGGACAGAAAGCTTTCATATGTCTGCTTCTTGTCTTCAGCTCAACAATTCTTCATATTTTGGGGTGGCATATTCTGGTTCCTCCACAGTCAAAAAATTCTCCTGACCTTTCTCTCTGGCTGTTCTTAGTCAATATCCTTTGCAGGATCCTCCTCACTTACGTGTTAGAGCTTCCTTAAGTTTGGCCCTAGACTCACTTCTCTGCTTACTCTCCACTCTCTCCTTTTGGGATCTCAGCCATGTCTGTGGGTATAAATACCATCTAAATATGCTGATGAGATGCAGATTTATATTTGAAGCCCATATCTCTTTGTGCTCTAATCTCATGTATCCAACTGCTTATCTGGTATCTCCGCTTGGAGGTCTCATGGGGATCCCAACTGAAGGAATCTCAAGTTAAACTCCTGATTCCTATCATCTATTACTTTCTAAATCATTCCAGTTTTGGTACATGCCACCCCATACACCCCGTTGCTCAAGCCAGGAAGTTCAGAGTTATTCTTCATTTTTCTCTATTCTAGTCTTTATTCTCCATTTATGATATGTCATCAAGACCCGTCATTTCTGCCTCTGAAATGTATCTTGACTCTGTCCTCTTGTCCCCAGTTTCACTGCCACTACTCTTCTTCAACACCATTATCTCTTATATGAATTATGGCAATGGCCTCCTCCTTATTCAGCCTGCTTCCACAGATGCCTCTCTCCAATCTTCCACATAGTAGCCAGAGTCATCTTTATTCTTTTAAGTCTTTCTCTCTTCCTGAAACCTGAAGCATAGCATATACACAGTAAAATCCTTTAAAAATAGAAATCAGATTCTATCATTCCCCTGCTTAAAATTATTCAAAGGCTTTCTACCGTCTTGAGAAAAAAAAAAACAAACTACTTACCATGGTATATAAGCATCTTCAATAATCTGATGTTTTTTCTTCTCCAATCTCATCTACAAATCTCCCTCTTACCACTATACTCCAGCAACACAGGCCTTCTTTGAATACCTCAGATATCCTTGGCATTGGTTGGTTTTTTGCTTTTATTTTTGTTTTTGCTTTTGAGACAAGATCTTGCTATGTTGCCCAAGCTAGAATGTGTGGCTATTCACAGGGGCAATGACAGAGCACTGCCCCTGGAACTCCCAGGCTCAAGCCTCAGCCTCCTGAGTAGCTGGGGCTGCAGGCACGCATCATCACACCATCGCACCATTGCGCCTAGTTCCTTGGAATTGTTTTTGCCTCAAGATCTTTACACATATGGTTTCCTTCTGTCTTGAATGACCACTTGTCCATTCTTAGCATGACTCCTCATTCTTCAAGTCTGTGCTTAAATGTAAGCTCCTCAGAGAGAATTCTATGACCTTCGTAGCCAGGCAACAGCCCGTTCACTGATTAGTCTCTATCACTGTGAAGTTCACAAAGGCAAGAAATACATCTGTTTATTCACCAATGTATAACCAATGCCTAGCACAATTCCTGGCCCATGACAAATGTTTAATAAATATTTGCTGGACGGATGAATGAAAAGACTGATACAAGAAGTGGAAGTGGTACCCACTCTTTAGCAGACCAAACAACTCTCCACTGATGGCACATTTAGAGTCCCTAAAGACAATGAGGTAATGCATGTAAAGTGCTATGTCTGATCCTTAGCACAATTCAAGAGCTCAATAAATGGTATGGCATATGGGAAATTATATATAGTGCAGCTAGGGTTATATATGGGACTAGGAGGGCAAGATAGGATATTGCAAATTTACAGCAGGCAGTGGGAAGAGGGAGCAAGAAACTTTCCTCTCTCCCCCAAACCCTTTCCTTATACCATGATTCCCCTGGCAGAGCTGACACTATAGCACTATGGAGATGAGCAATAGATATTTTTTCCCTGAGACTAATTTCCCTGATCTCTCTAAGATAATCAAATCTGCAATTGAGCTCAGCCAGAATCTGCCTGTTTACCTTTCAAATACAGGCCCTGTCTCTAAGAGACTGAGACAAAATTGAGAAATATATTTAAAAGCCTCTGATTTGGCGCCCAGAACTGGGTTTCAGCACCACTCCACAGTCCTTTTGCTCTCACAGAGCCCAGGATGGAAATTTTTCTTTAACCATAGCCAGGACTCCACACGAAGCCCAGGGACTGTCATCCGGAGATGCAGAGCTCAGAAACATCTTCATCTTGCAGAGCTAAAGGACATTAATGGCTGTGTCTATTGGCAGAGGGAGCCTCTCACAGCAGGACTACCAAGAGCAATCGGCTTCTTTTACATGTCACTTAGCTTCCCTGGCCTTTGCTGGGAGTCTTGGTTCTATCTGACTCAACCTAAACTCCAAGAAGCAATCAGAGCTAGTCAGGTGCATCCTCCACATGTCCAACTTCTGCAGAGAAGAACAAGATGTTTCTCCAGTCTCTTGTGCCTAACCTGTTCTAGTTGTTGCATAAGCAAACATCTCTGAGGGCTCAGCAGCATCTGAACTGTGACTCATTCACAGCTTAAGGATCCAACAAACATTTACTGACCTCCTAATCTGAGTTCCTTTTGACTAAGAGCACTGAAGACACTTGGCCAGCTTTGCCTATAAAACGTCATGCCTTTGGGGCAGAATCAAGGGGGATACTCCCTTATGAAGAAGATGAGAAAGGAAAAAGCACATTTTTGCCCTTGACCCTAGCTGGGAGCCAGTCCCAGCAAATGGTCAAGCAAGGAAATGTCTTCTTTTAGTGCTGCCTCCTTTCCCTTCTCCTGGGATCTCCCAGGGATCTCCCACAAGTCCCCTCCGTTCTGCTCCCAGGGACCTGGCTCACCCTTAAACAAACAAAAACAGAGATGCAGTCAAGACCCAAATGAATGGATTTGCTAGAGCCCAGAAAGAGGATTTTAGACACACATCAAGCTGGCGGGGGTCTGAATCTTTAGGCAGATCCCTTCCCAGACATTCAGATTACAACCCAACAGGACTTAAAAGTTTTAATAGAATGTGATCACAAATATAAAAGATGGTTTTTCTTCTTCTTCTTCTTTTTTTTTTTGTATTGGCCAATTTCTTCACAATGGGTAGGGATGCATTTTAAAATCAGAACAATATATATTTTTATGAAAACATATAGATCTTCACTTTGACTCTTAAAACTACCCTCTGGAAGTAGCTAGCCACTACATGTAGTCCCATAATCCACTTTAGGCACTTTCCTGAGGCACTGCCAGGGGCCTTTTCACAAAATTTCCAACTTTGCACTTGCATACTAAACTAACCCTGGCTGCCCAAGTTTATGGAGTTGAACCTCAGGGACTAGGAATGATTGGGCCAAAGGCTTTGCCAATG